TAATTTTTCTATACTTCTGGCATAGTCATCCTTTTAAATAAGAAATCTGATTATATCACTCCCCTACTTTAAAATTTATTCAGCACCCTATTGCCTACAGAATCACATTCCAAATTTAGTATGGCATACCTGTCTTAGTTTGGCTCTAACCTATATCCTTTTCCATATTCTGCAACTCTTACCTGGAGTGCCCTCTCTGCCCTTGTCTATGTGGCACACTTTTATTATTTTTCAAAACAAACCTGAACTCCATAGTCAGATGATAGTTTATTCTTCTATGACCTTATAGTACTTGATATACACTTCTGTTATAGTATTTTTTAGTGCATTGTGGTTATTTGTTGCTTACCTTTTCTCCCAGTATAAGCTCTTCACAAAAAGGAATATTCTTTATCATCACCTTTGTAGCGTCATCTTACTTCAATGATTGGCATGTTATAAATACTTAGTAAAGTGAATGAAATGCTTATAAAAGTAAAATGGGATGAGTGTGACAGTGGAGGACAGGAAAGAGAACTGGACATTATACAGGACTTTGTATGCCTAGATATGGGTTTTAATGCCCTATCCTTCTCTCCTAGGGTCTGTAGGCTAGTCTTTGTCTTAGTCTCCTTCTTCTCTCTCTTGTCTGTCTGTCTACTAGCCATCATCCCCTTATAGGGACGTGACTCATGCTGCATTCTCAGATTCCCTTTATCTTATTTCTCAAAACTGGAGTGTTAGTGTATATATTTGAGTGAGAGATAATCCTGACCTTTCTGGTAGATGTTTACATTTTTTAAAAGGCATTTATTAATCTAAGAAAATCTCTTAACTGATAGAATGTCTAAGGCAGATATTTTTGAGTTGAATTCCTTACTACTGCCCCTCCACCTTGCTTTGCCTAAAAGAATCACCCTAATTTTAGTGGAGAATTGTTATAGGTTATTTATTGAATATAGAAGAATTATATGATGAAAATGTTAGAAGAACAAAATCACTTGTAAACAAAATGGGTCAGAATTAAGGGAATGGTGGGAGATGGACACTTGGGGCCTAGAGGGATGTCAGTTGAGGTTTTTTTTAATATTTTAGATGAATTATGAAAGACTGAAGCAGTGGCAGTAATATTAAGTAAAAGCAAAAATGAAATTGTTTATTAGATTTGTTCCTTCTCCTACCTAATTTTTTTTTTGGATAGGGAGTAGGGGAATAATTGTGTATTATATGTGTGTATATGAAGTTGTATAGCATAGAGTTTCACATGTAATGCTAAACACAATTAAGTTGAAGAGGAGAATATATGTAATTAGTATGGTATAATCTGATTTTAACTTATTCTATTGACATCTCTAATTATATTTCATTCTTAGGTTGCTTTGTCTTGTTATATTCTTGCCGGTAGGAGTAAAAGATCTGTTACTTAGATGTTTCCAAATGGATATTTATCATGTACCTTTCGAGTTTTGATAAGAACTCTAGGACTTCATTGAGACTCTAAAAATGGCATAAATCAACTTTATACTTTGTTAGTAATATTGAGTTCATTTTATATCAACATTTGCAAAACTTATTTCCTTTATTTTCTTCAAAAGACTAGCTTTTGTCTTCACTTTTTGCAATATTACTACGTAACTAGTCATTAAAATTGTTGGTTAGCTTCTGAAATTAGTTTAGTTCCTACACTTCAACAACTGGAATCTAGAAGTTAGGAGAAATTAGATAGAATTTTACATTTCCTTTTCAATATTAGCTTAACAGTTATGGGCCAAAATGTAGCAGTACTTAAATCAACACACATGAGGTTTCTCTTGTCCATATGCCACATGCTCAAATATTTGGTACTGTGGCATTAATCATAATAGCAGAACGATGTATTGTAGCCAAACAAGTTTCCACTTTAGTCAGAGGAGTTTTCTTGGACAAAACATCCAAGAAATGCTTGTGAATCATTTTGTGAGTCAACCTCTCTACTTTAGACTTTTTGTCTGTTGTTTTTTTCTCCTTTTCTCACCCCTTTGGAGTGTATGTGTGTGTTTCTTTTTTTCCCGTTTAATGATTTTGATTGAAAATGATAATTTGGTAGAAGAGCAAGTTTGTGAAGCAGATTTCAAATGTTTCTAGTTTTTCTCAACAAGCGAATGGTCTCAATAATTAAAAATCGAATATTTTTAGAAATATTATGGCCTGGAATATAAATTCTGTAACTTGAGAATATATGCTAATTTGTCTAACTACTAAATATATATGGGGATAAACCTTCAGTAAACTGTTATGTACTTATTCAAAATCATTGAATAAGGAAATAGATGGAGAAGATTGTATATACAGCATGGTGGTAACTAAGATCTATTTTAGACATGGATAAAGATTTGAAAGAATCTTGAAATAGTTGGTAGTATATTGTGGTTGACTTTTATTCAATTTTCTTTTATAAACAAAACATCTCGTAGTCTTTGTATTATAACTAATGTTACTATTATGTTTGTTTAATTTGTTAATTAGTAACATGGTGCCAAATATTTGTACGTATTGAATATGAATGTAATGTAATTCCATTGATTGAATTTTAGAAGGAAAAAATTAAGGCAGTAATGATACCCTTTTGGCTGATTTTCAGTGGAAATATGAGAGTGTTTGAAGGAATTTCTTTTCTGCTCTTATTAGGAATATCATTGGCATAGTATTATAATTGGGTAGTATGCTAAGAGAGGACTACACTTTGTTAAAATAATAATTTTATTGATGTAAAATTCACACAACATACAATTCACTCATTTAAATTATTTAGTTCAGTAGTATATAATATGTTCACAGAGATGGTGTACAAATGTACAACCATCACCACTATCTGATTTTAGAATAGTTTGTCCTTACTAAAAGAAATTCCATACTCATTAACAGTCACTGGCCATTGCCTCCCTCCCTACGACCCCTGCCAAACACTAATCTACTTTCTGTTTTTGTAGATTTGCCTTTTCTGGACATTTCATATAAATGGAATGATATGTGGCCTTTTGTGTGACTGACCTCTTTCACTTCACATAATGGTTTCAGGGTTCATCCATGTTGTAACATATATCAGGACTTCATTCCTTTTTATTACTGAATAATATTCCATTGTACGGATATTTTATTTGTCGATTTATCAGTTGGTGGACATGTGAGTGGTTTGTACTTTTTGACTCTTATGAATAATGCTGCTATGAACATTCATATACAAGATTTTGTGTGGACATGTATTTTCATATTTCTTGAGTTTATACCTCAGAGTAGAATCGTGGTAACTCTATATTTACTGTTTTGAGGAACTGCTAGACTCTTTTCCAAAGTAGCTGCATCACTCACTTTACATTTCCACTAGCAGTGTATGATGATACCAGTTTCTCCATATCCTCACTAACA